AACTTTATCCCTGACCTGTCTGGTGTGTTCTTTGGACTTCATGGTGTTGTTGCTCCCAATATTCTCTCAGACAACCTCTGAGGCCGTCACAGAGCAGCTGTATTTGTACTGACATTAGATCACACACAGGTGCACATTTAGTCATTAGCACTCATCAGGCATGTCTATGGGCAACTGGCTGCACTCAGACCAAAGAGGGCTGAATCATTACGCACACCCCACTTTGTAGTTATTTATTTGTAAAAAATGTTTGGAATCATGTATGATTTTCGTTCCACTTCTCACGTGTGCATTACTTTGTGTTGGTCTTTCACATGGAATTCTAATAAAATTGATTCATGTTTGTGGCTGTACTGTGACAAAATGTGGGAAAGTTCAAGGGGGGCGAATACTTTTGCAAGCCACTGTATCTTCAGATAATGTTGAGTTATAGGATTATTATTTGTTTGCCTTGAGTTTAGTCTACTTTATGTTTCACCTAGGACGGCTGTGTTAGTGTCATGTATTGTCTGCGTGTTTCATGTTGTCAATTCTGTGTTTTGATGTCCCGGTGTTTCATGTTTTATTTTGAAAATCTTGTGTTTCTTTGTTCAGTGTGTTTAGTTTCACTCTACCCCTGTGATGTTGTTGTTCACTGCGTCAGCTGTTTCCTCCTGTGTTTTGTGAGAAAGTATAAGAGCAAGTGGCATGTGTCAGTTCCCCTCTGACGTGCAGAGATAAGGAGTAGGTTGTAAAGAAGAAGAGAAGAAAAGCAGGAAACTACAGATGGACAGTTGGGGAGTGTACTTTTCTATGTGAATGTTAGGGGGTGTGTCCTTGGGTGTGCTTGATAAGGAAACAACATGTATTCTTTTTATGACTTGTTTTGCTGACTGTAGTGAGCATAAGGCTGAGCTCACCTGTGACTAAGCCTGTAATCTAAAGATTGCAAGATGCTTGTGTGACTACTAAATAACTATAGGGGCAGTCCTTTAATGAAGCTTCCAGAGCCTTTATAATGAAAAGACTGAGGAATTGCTCCTCAGATTCACTTGATGCTTGCTGTGGCTGCATGTAGTAGGATCTCCCAATGGGCATTGGCAATAAAGCTTTGATGAAAGGATACTTCACCCTCATCTGACTCTTCTTCTCCAGCTGGCATATCAAAAGTATCAGTGAGGTCAAGAAGTGAACCTCAATAGTTTCCACTTCTTCTGATCACCCCCTGTGTGTATTTAGTTTTTGTGTTTTCATTCAGTGGATGTCAGGTTTTCTATATTTCCTCTCACCACGTCACAACAAGTTCCATGTATGTCATGATTCTGCTCAGGCCTGAATAAATTCTATTTGAAACTCAGTTCCGGCTTCTTCAGTGTCTGCATTTGGGCCCTGCTTCTCGTTCAACACACAGCAGGAGCTGTCTGTGACATTTATTACTTCTAAGGTGGACTACTGTAATTTATTATTATCAGGCCATCCTAAAAACTTCCTGAAAAGCTTTCAATAAATATAAAATGCTGCAGCAAGAGTACTGACAGGCACTAGGAAAGAGAGAGAATATTTCTCCTATATTGGTTTTTCTTCATTGGCTCCCTGAGTATTTCTTCTTCAGTCAACTTTCTCACTCACTATGTGTTAATAGACCTCTCTGCATTTAATCATTACTTATTATTAATCTCTGGCTCTCTTCCACAGCATGTCATTTGTCCCGTCTTCCTTCTCTTCCTTCTCCTGTCCCTCCCCGAGTCTGGTTCTGTTGGAGATTTCTTCCTGTTAAAACTGAATTTTTCCTTCCCACTGTCGCCCAAGTGTTTGCTCATAGGGGGTCATATGACTTTCTTTGTATTATTTTAGGGTCTTTACCTTACAATATAAAAAGCCATGCAGCAAACTTAAAAAGGTTCATTGATAATCACTCAAGTTTTCTTGCTTTAAGACTTGTGTCCATAGGCAACTGTTTTCTATACAGATCACATAAAGCTCTGAAAGCTTAGAAAACGAATTCATTCATTTACCTTTGTCCAAATCATCGTCATGAGACTTGATGATGGCAAACCACTGTAACCCTGACTACATTCTGTGAAAAATGATTACTGAAAGAGTAGTTGTGAAAGTTATATTATGCAAGTGTCTGTTCGGACATGCACAGTGTTAGTGAGCACTTGGTTTAAAGCACTTTGAGTTAACTACTGGATTTGGGTTTATAAACTATATCAGTTTACCTCAATTTCTAATACTTGCAGTTTTTGGTTATTTGAAAGCTAACAAATAACCTTTATTTGTACCTGTTTTAAAATAAAGTTATTTGTCTTTTATATTATCTTTTTAAAACAACCATTGTTTATTACTGGTTTTTAGGGGAATTTCTTTTTCAATTGTTGTATATTTTGAGTTTCAACTGCATTTTGAGGAAGATGCCTTTAGGGTTAGGGTTATGCTCCTGTTTGTTTTATCTATATTTGCAGATTTAAGGTAGATGTTCTTCACTTTGCATTTACTTGGTTCCCTTTCTGGTGCTCTTGTCCATGTTAGTGGTTTTATGAAGATCTTTATGTGATGCTCCGTTAAATATTTATCTTTTAATTCATCAATAATCACATTATTCGGGCTAAGATAGTAATATAATTACATTTTGTTGCATCAAAATATTAAAGAACATACAAACATTAATATATAACTATATAATTTTAAAGTAAAGTTTAATTAATAAAATATAAAAATACATTTTAAACGTTTAAATTAACAGTAAATAAAATTTTATAGTACCTACATACCTAAAGATGATTTGGTTGACTAAATTTTTCGAGGTAATGAGTCCTTTATTATATCTGCTCCTATTTTCTTCCCCCTTCCTTTTTTTCTTAGTGCCTTTCAGGTAAAACATATGCAAATAATGTAATACCTGAAATATTAGAAATGAAAAACAAAAATAAACAGATAAAAGAACAAGAGGAAAAGGTATAGAGCTTGTATTAGAAAAGAAAAATATGCTTGGCACAACAGTGCATTCAGATCATAATTGTGATTGAAACAGCTGCTACACAGGAGAGAATTTTGGAGGGGGGGGCACAAATGTAATAAATGCAAAACAAATGAAAGTATGATTCTCAGTTTTACAAATACAACAAAACATGGTGGTAAGCATGTTTGTTTTAGAAAAACAATTGTTTAAACCTACTACTAGAACAAAAGCTGTATTCTGAGCATTTATGAATAGACACAGACGAATAAATATAACAGATTATTGCTGCATCAACAAATTACAAACTACGGTGTTCTCTTTAAATGCAGACGAAGTATTTGATGGGTAAACTGGAAATTAGTATTAGCAGATCCACACACATTCTGATTTGTTTTATTCTTTATAAATTGGGTGAAAACACTTTACAGCTTTCCAAATGGCCTGTATTTGTATAGCTCTTTACTAGTCCCTAAGGACCCCAAAGCACTTTACACATTCAATCATCCACCTATTCACACACACATTCACACACTGGTGATGGCAAGCTAAATGAATGTGTTAGGACAAATTATATTACTTGCCAAAACTTTTTTCTTCCCGCTTTTTGTCATTTTTATTGAACTACTAGCTGCAATCTGACACAATGTAGATATTAAAGAAATTCAAAATGAAGATAAAGACCATAAGATAAGCCTGTGGTGTATTACTTTTCCCTAGGAACTCACAAACCTCTCCTACAAAGATGATCACACTTACAAATAAGTTCTCATTCACATCAAACTACTCCATCAACTCGAGTTAAACAACAGTTCTGCCTCTGACTTGTAACTTTCAGAGCACCTCCACCACCCTCTGCAGTTTGATAACATCAGATATCTAGGTGTAGATTTTTCCACCAGGCTCTCAGACCTAGTATGGTTGAATCATATTCCACTACTAAAATTGGTAGAGGATGATCTTGGGTTAAACCAAGCTTATCAGACAGCCTTTGGCTGGACCTAGAACAAGAACTTTATGGAAACCTCAAAAAGTTGATTCTGTTCATCTGAACGTAGCGTTATCAGTGGGACAACGAAACATCGTCCTGTTAATCAGAATCACCTTTTTGGAATTTACTTACCAGGATGGTTTAGCTTGCATCAAGATATTTAACTCTGTGGAAAAGTGAAAATCTCTAATTTGCCCTTCAAAAGTTCCTGTATTAAGCATCATAACTGCTTTGAAAGGTTTAACATAAACACCTCTCTGACAGCCTGATAGGAATTTATTAAATAGCTAAGTTGTAATGGGAAAATTTTAGTTTCACATTTTCACATTTAGTTTTAGGTGGTTAGATGAATTGTGTGTATGTGTCAGTATGACCTGGTGAAGAATGCTTAGCTTTGCTTAACAATGTTTCACTATGTTATCTACTAACTGTTAGGGCATAGAAGGATGCAACTCCCAAGAAGACCAGTTCCAGGAGCTTCCTGGGAAAAGACAGTTGGAGTCGCTCTCTGCCGAGCAACAGCCCGTGGGACTAAACCCTGTAGTAACTGAAAAATACAGAGAACTGTGTGTGAGGGTATAAAAGGGACGCTGTGACGCCCCAAGGTTAGAGCTCACATAACTGTGAACTGTGATGTTTTATGTGTGTTGGCTCTCCCTCATGCAGTATTTAAAATAACTTGACCACAGCTGACCAGGTTGGAGACTTTATTAACAGAAAATTCCACAACAAAGTCTTCACTTATTCCATCTAAACTAACACCCATTTGGAACAATCCACTTGACAGAAAAAGAAAATAGGACATTTTTAATCATGGTGTGAGAAAGGGATAAACAATGTCTTATACAAGATGGAAACTTAATTTCGTTTGAAGCAACAGTAAATTTCTTGAATATCAGCAACTGAAGTACATCCTACAGGAAACATTTAATCTCAATCAACTGAATCTACAAATACCTACTTTGTTACTGAATTTTTAAATATCTGTACCTGTTATGATTCTAGGTTCTTTTGATCCAGCATTTTGAGTTTCTTGTGTTTTGATGTCATTTTGAGTTATGGTTTATTATTTAAGGTTCATTTAGTAGTGCTGAGTATATTTCATGTTAGTTTCTTCTACATCTCGGTTCCCCTTGTATCTTTGTCCTCTTTGTTCCTCACTGTGTGTTCGGTGTATATGCGTGTCCTATCTTGTTTCCCTATTCTGTTCTTCTTGTGTTTCATTCCATGTTTACTCTGTCTGTCATGCGTATCTCCTGTTTCCCCAGCCCCTCATGTCTCTCTCTCTCTTGTGGTCTCTCACCCTCTGGGTTCCTCGCTCTTGTGTTCCCCTCTTGCTCGTCCTTGCCTTCTTAGTGCCATCTGTTTTGTCCTCCTTGCCTGTTGCTGGGTTCTTCTCCATGTCGTATTGTCACAGTCTACGTCTCACTATGTTCCTGTTTTATTTTGACAATCTTGCATTCCATGTTCAGTGTGTTTAGTTTTGCTTCCTCTGTCTCATCATGTCTAATATGTCTCAGCTGTGTTCCCCATGTGTTTCATGTTCCCTCGTTATTCCCTGTATATTTAAGCCCTCTGTCCCATTGTCCACTGTTGCATTCTCCCTCATTCGCTGCCGTATATTCTGTCTGCCTATCTGTTTTGTTTCATGTGTTTTCCCAGTTTAGTTTGTTTTTGTATTTTCCGGTGTTCAGCAATAAAGCTGCTTTCTTTTTTATTCTCACGTCCGTGATTCTGCATTTGGGTCCTATTCTGCCCGCTTCACACGGTCAGTTCATGACAGTACCCCCAAATTGTTATCAAAAATGTATAAGTTATTATTTAAAATTGATTCCTACCACTTCCCCCAAGACACCGCTGCCGCTCCATCGGATGTGGGTACTTTTTGTTTCTGAGGCCCATGTCTGGATGTTCTGGTGTGGTCTTTGACCCGGGGGGGCTCTCCCACGTGCTAAAAAACAGAAAATAAATATTTTACAATACAATCAAAGCCTTTGTTTATTTCATCTGCAATTTTCTTTTGGTAAACAAGGTTATACTGGCATTGTAACCGGCATTTGCCTGCTCAGAGCGCTGTCCAGTGCTGCAAGATCAGTGCCAGCTGTGATTAGGTGGCTTTTTAGATGCTCAATCGTACACTGTGTTTTTCTGGTGTTTGGGCTGTCAGATGTGGCAACGCAGCAGAGCTGTGACTGGGCACTGTGGAGGCCCAGTGGAAGCTGTTTAATTGCCTCAGGTAAGGGATTCTTTACATAGCCGTTTATCATGTTTGTGGTTATAGCAGTGTGTCTGGAAATGTGCTGCGGGGCTGGTGGTGAGAATGCTGTGTGTGGGTGATCTGCTTGATGGTGAGCAGTTTCCGTGAGACACGCCAGGTAAGCTTGTATGGAATCACTGATGATGAGGGAAAGAAAACAGCAGCTTAATAAGGATTCGCTTTTTTTCACTGCTGGTTTTTTTTTCAGGACTGTTTTAATTTCCTGTGTTTTGTTTCGGTTAATTTTCTTTTGTTAGTTATACTTTTAGAGTGCTTTTTTACAAATCCTGTGTTTGCAGTATCGGGGTTGGTGGCGGACCAAAGGGGTTGTGATAGCGAGGGGTGTGGCTTGGGAGGTTTGGACAAAATGGCAAACAGTTAGTTTGACCACCTTTTTATAAAATAATTTTTTTTTTTCGTGCAATTATTAATAATTGTGTTTCTGTTTCCTTTTTTCTTAACGCACTAGGAGTAGTTGTAGGTAATAAGTGGCGCACAAATTGTTTGCCTCTCTCCTCCAGCCACAGGTGTATTTGTGTGGGCCTTTTAGCATTCATATGGATTTATATAATGTATTTAAAATGTATTGATATTAAAAGTATTTTTTAAATTTGTTAAATAAATTATAAATAATTTTGGAGGGAAAGCTTTGACTTTTAGCTCATTTTCTTTGACCAAACATGCTCCTTAGAATTTGTAGAAAAGAACTGATAACTGAATGTGAGGGCGGGCCCACACCACGGTCACACCCGTGGTTTTAAGTTTCTTTTAATTCATTATTCTTTTAGGTTGTGAATATTATTATTATCATTTTGCTCAATTTTCAGGCCCCATCTTAACATAAAGACCTCAAGGTTCAATATTGTATTTGGGGTTACTAGAGTATTTAAAAGTAAAATGGGAGGAAGAGCCTTCAGCTTTCAGGCCCCTCTTCTGTGGAATCAGCTTCCAGTTTGGATTCGGGAGACAGACACTATCGTACTGTCAAAATTAGGCTTTTAAAAGGTTCCCTCCTGTTAAAAGGGAGTTTTTCCTTCCAGCTGTCGCCAAAATGCTTGCTCATAGGGGATCATATGATTGTTGGGTTTTCTCTGTATGTATTATTGTAAAGTCTACATTACGATAAAAAGCGCCTTTAGGTGATTGTTGTGATTTGGTGATGTATAAAAGAAATTTAATTGAAAATTGAAATGTAGACAAAAGAACATGTTTTAAATTCTCTTTTGCTGCATGTGCCCTTCATAACAGATTCAAACTAAATACATTAATTTGAATTAGATTTTTATTTTAATTTTAAAATTAATGTGAAAACTATATTAATAATTCGGTGTCCAACTTAACAGCATGAGATGAGCGGCTTTTATTTTTATAATTTTAAATATTATTAAAATTGAATTAATAGATTTATATCATTTCACTTTAAATTTCAAAGATATTGTTATTAAAGCCTTGAAAGAAATATGGTCTACGACCGTGGTTCTTAAACTGTGGTACTAGTATTATTTAATCTTAAAAGAAATTGGAGATTTCCTGCCTATACCACTAGCAAGAGCCCAAGTACCACCAGTGGTACGCAGGATATCTCCAATTTTTTTAAAGATTAAATAATATACCATTGTGGAGGTATGCAAAGACGACACGACAGTTCCCGAGGCTCTTCTGGGAGCCGGAGTCGACTAGAAAACGTCTCCCCGAGCGTGAGTCCTCTATGAAGAGCAGCCTTTCCTTAACATCAGCAGTCACGGTTGCTACAGAGCATTGGTGGATTTGCTTCCTTGCTTCCTTAAAGCTGTAAGGTGGTAGACAGCGCCATGCTGCAGCGCCAAAAGGCTGCTGGTAAAAAACACGGCCCTTCTTTGCGGTGCCGCCGTGCCGTGATCCCAACCACCATCTATGAGTCTGACCCCCCTGGGAGAATTGGTGGGGGAGCGGAAGATGCTGCTTGTGAGTCAAGAACTATTGCCTGGATGCCGAAGCTCCTGGCAGCCAGGAGAATGCTCCTTCTGTGAGTGAGCAGTAATCCTTCACGGGCAGCATTGGGGAGTTAGTGAGGCCAGCTCACACTGGAGCTAGCAATTGTCAGAGGAAGAGGTCAGTGAAGAGGAATCTGCCATCATCCGTTCCTAGCAAGGACAGCTTGCTCTACATGAACTTGAGAGCGGTACCATCATCCAGGCCTGAGAGAGAGAGAGGAGTTTCTCGGCCCGCTCTGCATCGGAGAGGGAGTAGTGCCGCAGCAGCACCTTGAGAGGGGTGTATTTCCCCTGGGTGGGGGGGATCCCAGAGGAGAGTCATCACACGCGGTTGGACAGTGGATCCAGCAAGGCCACCACATAATGGTATTTTGTGTCGTTGGCTGAAATGCCACAAAGAGCAAACTGAGCTCCAACGTGCACAAACCATGGAGGAGGGTCTTGAAGCCAAAAATCCGGCAGCTTAACCACCACAGCAAAAATTAAAATGTACAGCTCTGCTAGCACTTCCGACATAAATGATGACAGAAAACTAAACAGCAGTGACGTTTGTAGGGATACTGAAGTTGGGCTAGCTGTTTGCTGATTTGCTACATGATCGCTAGCGACACAGCTATGGTTAGCATAATATAAACACAGTGAAGCTGGAGGATGAATGCTAACTTTTTTCCACTCGATAAAAGTTAACGTGAGGATTCCCAATGGTTAGGGACAAATGTAATCGCATGGCAGGATGCTGTAAACGGACCAAACTTCAGTCAGGAGAACAACTTAGATAATACATCCACAATACGAAGTTAGTCATTGATATACTGCTGCATGGGCTGAGCTGTAGTTACATCGTAAGGTTTTAAAAACTGAGCGTCAAAATGAACAGTGGTAATAAAAACTGAGAGAGGCCGACCGTGATCACTGACTTTTTTTAGGGGATTGTTCAGACTAAACAGAATAAGATACAAAGTATTAAAACATGTTAAAAACACAACAGCCTTAATAAACACAGAGTAGTTTGGACCCGGAAGCAGGCTTCACTGGGTCATCATTTAAAGATTGTATATCCCACCTGCTGTGAATGTTTTAATGCCGTACAGGTGTTATTATTATCACTTGTCACATCCTGTTTATGACAGTTAAAATTAATGACATTCATATAAGAAATAAAATTATCTTTTGTAAACTGTATGTGGTGTTCAATAGGCCTATACTACTGTACTTTAATCTCAGTCATAAGGGTGTTACTTCAACAGCCATATACTTTATGAGGTGGTACTCATTGAGAACCACTGGTCTAGGACACCCTATGGCCCCCTTTGACCCCTGGCTCCAGCCTTCAGCAATTTTCCTAACTCTTTTTTTTGCCTGTCCCGTTTGGTACTTTAGAAATCTGAAATATTGTCTGAAGGCCAAGAAACATGCCCAACAGATTTATTTTACCAAGTGGGTCATTATGGCTTTGCTGACCTTTGTTATTATTATTTATTTATTTTATTTTATTTTATTTTAAGTTATTACAGACTGGACAGACATGACCGAGGAATAGGAAAAGGAGAAAAAATAAAGAAAGGGAGGGAGGGAAAGAAAAAAAAAGTGAGAGAAGACAATAAAAAAGTTTCCTAATTCAAACATCCTATCAGTTGAGGTTAACAGTTCATCTGCATATTTTAATGTAACTTCTGTAGCTTTACTCTAGATTTTCACTTTGTAAAGCAAAAAGCAGTGGTTGGGCCACCTACTAAGTATGTTTTTCTTTACATCATTAAACAGGTGTTTTGATGAAGGACTCCTACTTGCTTTTTCTTAATAAAGCTTTTAACAGTGATTACAGAAATAACTGCTGCCGTTTTGTATGCTGGGAAAAACATTTTTCTTTCACTTCAACTGAGCTCACTGTTTCAGTCACTTTGTGTTGTGTGTAAACAGACTGCAGCTTCATGTTAAGCTATGACAGCTTTGTCACTAATGCTGGTGCGGTATACATACAGACACACAGACATACACACCTTATAGGCGACTGATGTTGTGATTTGGCGCTATATAAATAAAATTGAATTGAATTGAATAGAAACATCACCCAATAAAATACACTCAAATTCTGAGCTCTGTCTGGTTTGTGCAGATGCAGCTGCCTTCTTATAAATCCTACCAGGCCCTGTTTATTATATTTAGGGACATCAGTAACATCTGATGCTATGTTTGCCTGTAACTCTTCCCACCTGCTTTCAGTCAATGGGAGATGCTATGACGGTTATAAGGAGTTTTGGATCACTGCATGACCTACACATGACTTCTTAATGACATCAAAAGGAACAGTGAGCAATGGCAGCACCTCAGGATTTCCTAGAAAAAAATGGTGCTGGGCCACTGAGCAGTATTGCACTAGTTTTCTACAAATCTGCAGGAAAATGGTTTCATATTTTGTATTCACACATGTGGTCCTTAATACATTTCTATTGCAATGAATCGTTGCAGCCCTAAATTGCTGGGTAGCCTTACCCATACTAATGTAATTGATCTACGAAATAATATAAATCTAAAGCTTTAAGTTAAATTTTATCTGTGCATTGTAAGATAAATAGCATGTTAATTCTAACAGTGCACACACAACCCACCCCTCCAGAAATCTATCCTCCACTCATACAATTTGCAACTAGTTAAGAGGATAGCCACCTAATTAATGCACTTTTATTCTTGCAAACTGAAAGGGGTTGGTACAGGAAAGATGAAAACTGATCAAGCTGTTTGCAGCTGGCTGCAAAACACCACTGTGGTGCAATGCAGGAGAGAGAAAATGAGAACAGGAAATGATATAAACCTGTGTACATTACCGCAACAACAGCACTACCCCAAACAGGAAATGACAGAAATCTCTTTTCCTTCTCCTCACCTGCCATTGCAATCCTATCACGGTCCTCCATCTCAGTACCTTCTTAGCTTTACCGGAAATCTGTGAATCATACATGCAGAGAGTCTATTAAATAAAATAAATAAAACAGGTTTATATTTCTGTCTGCACCATATAGAGAAATAACTGCACATCTTGTCACTGGTGTTGAAATTTGCTGAGATCTCAGGACATTAAAAAAACCTTTTGATTCACAGGAATTTCATCCTTTTCATGCTAGAGTGTTTCATCTCAAAGATTCTGACTCTGAGAAACGTTACACTGATTTACAGTGACCCTTCTCCCATCCAATGCATCTTTACATACTTTTAAATGCAAATATTTTACAAGTTATTCTCTCTCTTTTGCATAAACTCACCTTCTGAGTTCTGGTTTGTGTAGCTGCAACTGCCTTCTTACGAATCCTACCAGATCCTGTCTTTATATACAGTGAGTAACATTTTATGCTAGGGTTACCTCTAACAAACTCCTCCCACCTGCTTTCAACCAATGAGAGATGTTATGAGAGGTATAAGAAGTTTAGGGTCTCTGCATAAACATGACTTCTTAATGAATAAAAGGAATAATCATGAGCTTCAACTCATGATTTCTAAGAAACCATGTGACTTAGAAGAAAGAGATGCGGTTGGGACACCTACTAAAACAACAACGGACACTTGTTTCCTTCAAATATGCACTCACTGAAGATATTGCATTGCTGAAGCACTGAACAGCTCAAATACAGGAACTTTTTTTTTTTTTTACAGAATTTTTGTTTGACAATTAAAATTTCATTTTGTGGGATTTTGTAGAATGGTAAGACCTTGTTTCACTGATAAACATTTCAAGTCATAAAGCATGTTCACTTAATCTTGGTTTTATAATTTTTCATGAGCTAGACAAGACAGATAGTACTGAGGAAAACAGTACAACACAGATATTAGTAATGGACAAATACAGGACTATGTGAGATAGGATAGGACGATGTACATAAATGTCCACACATTTTCACAATGACATGTGTATAAAACTTATGTGGGCCTCAATTTGCTAACCTATTTGTTGCATCTCCTCTAGTAAAGCCAGCAAAAAAGAAGGTTTGCCAGGCAGTGTCTGAGTGATGTTAAACAAGTGCAGCCATTTTCAACATTAAAGCAACAAGTTAAGCAAGCAGTGGCAGACCTGCAGATTTACACTCAAGCATCCTCAGAGGAAGTGAAAGCATTAAAAAAAGAAAAAAGCTACAGAACACTCAGAGCTGAGAGAAAGCGATGGCGAGGGACAGAGAGAGAAACTTGACATTTGCAACCAGACATGACTACACAGAGGGGACACAGGGGAAGACACAGGACGATGACAAAAATTAAACTAACAAGCAATCAGTACTTCGATGTTTAACTGTTTAATCAGTGTTTTTGTTATTACTGGGGACTTTAACCAGACCAAGTGTCACGATCCTGGGTCTTTTGACCCAGCGTTTTGAGTTTTAGTTTATTTTGATGTTTATGTTATGTTTAAGTTCATTAGGTTATCGGAGTTTATTTGCATATTAGTTTCCCCTTGTGTTTTCAACCCCTGTTAAGTCTCCCTTGCCCTTCATGTGTTTCATGTCTGTGTGTCTTATGTTGTTTACTTCATGTTCTCATGTCTGCGTCTCATTATGTTTCCTGTTTTATTTTGAAGAAGTCCTGTGTTCCTTGCTGTGTCCGAATTCAGGGGAAGGATGCTCATAAGGACACTACCTACCTACGTCACAAGGTAGTGTCCTTAGACGGACGGGTAGTCAGGAAGTGAGCGGCTGTGGACAGCCCCCTTTTTTTTCTCCATAGAAACTTTATTGAACAAACAATCAGTATCCAACATTACAGATGGGCTGTGGACAGCCTTCTAGCCTTCAACTCCGCCCTTACTTGCGTGTTTTTCCGGTCGCTAGCGCCACGGCACGAAAATTTTAAAATGGACCCAGAAATGTTGCTCAGTTGTTTGGACATTTTAATTCTCGAGGGGCTAGAAAACCTTATCGTCGCCGCCCGCACATTTTGTACCTTAGGCTCATCAGAGACAATCAATCCAGGTAAAATAATTTCCTTTAATCTACAGCATTTAGGAATTACTTAGCTAATTACACGGATAATTGAATTATTGCCAGCGTTGTGCCAAAAAAGTGTTCGCCTGCCAAAACTGATTTCCAATGTTTCCGTGTGTAATATGTGGAATATCTTTATGTATGTTGGTAAATAGACTTCGGTGAACATGGTTTACAAAGGGGTTTTATATATACAATAATTACCTGTTGTTCAAGTATCCTTATAACTCTGGTTATAATGTAAGTACAACTGATATATTTGTTGCGCTGTCTGCTGTCCTCTTGACCAGATTACTCTTAAAAAATAAATTTCTAATGTCAACAAGATTGTTTGTGAACTGGATAAATAAAGAATATATAAAAGTCACTGCCAAAAACTGATTGCAGCTTCTACCTTGTTACAGGAATGTTGCTGGTGGCTCAAAGTAACTTGATATCATTAATGAGGGAAACATTTGAAATATGTTTCAGGTATTATAGAACAACAAGTTAGACGATCATTTTTTGGCACAACATCGGTCATTCTTACACATGTACTGTATCATATAAAATATATTAACTAAATATCTTTGAAACGTATAGAATCTAATCTTTTGTTTGTTTTTTTACATGGCACTTTATCAAACTGTTGTCTGCTACAGAGTTACAAGTATTATACTAATAATATAGCATCCACCATCTCCTGCTTGCATATTTCTGAAAACATCTTAGTGGTGTGGCAGCCGTTGATTGAGCCAGCCCTGCAAACCCTGTGGATGGACGATGCAGTGGACAGTGGGAGAAAGCATCCTAAAGCTCTCTTTGCAGACCACCCTGTGTGATTCTCCACTCGCCAACCAGAAAACACAAACCGCAGGTCTCAGTTGCAGCACCCCATCCTTGTTGATCTTGCTCGGGCAGATTCAGCAACACTGCCAGAGACTTCCTGTAATCTATTACAGTTGTTCAAGAAACGGTCCAGGAACAGGTCACTCAGGTTAATCCTGTGTGAACAACTGTAAATATTGTTTTTTCATCTTTACATACTGTGTATTTGAAATATTCTTGTTTAATTGTTATTTACTTTATTGCTATCAAATAAATATCCATGTAAAATTGTTCAAAGTTAGCGTCATGTTCATACATGTTAAAAATGCCTGTAAATCAAATTGAGTTCAGTGACAATTACTGTTTGTTTGAAACAATTTATTAATAACATAAAACCTTTAAACTAATGCAACACATATAACAGTGTAACAAATATATTCAAATAAATAAATTTCTCAATACATAACTCATTTGGGAACTAATCTTTCTAGAAGTGAAAACAGTCTGTCCATCCTCTCCCTGCTCTCCTTTCCTCAGCCTCTCTTTGCTCCCTCATGTCCTCTCTGATGAGGTCTAGCAGCTCATCATCCCTGTCTCTTTTCCTCTTTCTCCCTGTCGTAGGTGGCTGAGCCTCTTCATCATTGCTGTCGTTTTGGTCATCCGGGTAGTACGTCACGAGCTCCCTCGGTGGAGTGAAACTCTGCCGTCTGCTCCTTGCTATCTAAAATATAACCGGGCACTGACGTAAACTCTCGACCGTCTCACTCTTCTGTTTAATCATTTTCTGTTTGACGTTTATTCAGCTGTGTGAAAACCCCAGAGGAACCCTCCCGAGGGATTAATATAATAAAGTTAAATTTAATTTAATCTAATCTAATAACTTTAACATCAGCCGAACCGATTTAGTCACGAACAAATAAAACACTGAAAAAGCCAAACAATAACATTTTTAAGTTATCAAAGTGACTTATATATGCCCTCCTGGGTTTTAAATGCACGGCCTCTCGGCCTGGGGCTCGGTGACTCAGGCACAGCTGGCTGCCGGCGGAGCTCATGGGCGCGTCACTGCAACCCCCCCTGGCTTCTGCTCCGCGGCTGCTGAGTGAGCCCTCATCTGGGACTCTCCTCAGCTCTTTCTGGGACAGTGGCGCGGCTGCCCCTCTGTT